AACAAAGTATACACGTCTGGTTTGTGTACAAGTTACATTGTGTACAGGTTGTCTCTACATTGATACGGTAGAATAAATAAAGAAGAACACTCCCATTCTCATGTAGCATCATTTTGAGAAGAAATGACGCTCTGAGTGAAGGCAATGGAAATAAGTCACTCTGACTTTTTTGGGTTATCCTAGGTTCTCTACACATATGTTGTTATGTATGATAATCTATGTAACTGTATTTGTGTATACCTGAATAAACTTACTTACATACAATGAAGAATAATTTTCTACAGTTACCCCCAGTAACACATTTTCTCTTATGTTAGATTATAGAAAATGTTATTCTTGCCGTCACTTGTACAAGTTATCTGGCTACCACATCTCATATTTATGTTTATTTATTCTATTGTGGAGTGTATTTATCATCTTTTTATGTTATGTATCGTGCTTATTATATAATTTTGAAAAAAATATCATGGATGGATTAATGAAAATGTGTATATTAACGTAATATACGACATTTAATGAGACTCGGTGATTATTATTATTATTATCATTTCTAATATGGCGTCACTTGTGCAAGTCGTCTGCTACCACATCTCACATTTATGTTTATTTATTCTACTGTGGGGTGTATTTATCTTATTTATATGTTATGCATCGTGTTTATTATATAATTTTGAAAAAATATCATAGATGGATTAATGAAAATGTGTATATTAACGTAATATACTACATTTAAATGAGACTTGATGATTATTATTATCATTACTAATATGACGTCTGGAGACATAAGACACTCTTACTGATTTTTATGTGTACCTGCATGCCAGCACAGTGTGTAAGTTTATTTAGGTACAGGTATACATAAGTATAATTATCAGAGTATATATAAAATATGAAATAACTTTTAAAAACACTTGAAATTTTAGAGTTTCCAGATAAAATGGAGAGCCTTAGTGCTTATTGAGCTCACAGAGAATGTAAACAAACAGGGTGGGGCACGGTGACCGTATTAGAAAGTCAGGTGGGGGGAGCCGTATAGCGAGTTTTGGTCATAATTTGAAATGACCGTATTAGCGGAATGCCGTAAGGTGAAACGCCGTAAAGCGGGGCCCTACTGTATAGTCAGCGGGAGAGGGAATTGAAGCCCCACCACCACTCGCCATATTATGGCCTATTTTATTCATTCTAGAGTATATATCATGTTTCTATATTAATTATATTGTATGTCATAAAAGATGAATTGTGATAGATAAATAAGCCGTAGAGTTGATATTAGCTTCATATTGAAGTATTTTTGTCCTGCCTCCCAGAGCAGGAATTCTGCTGGAACAGATTAATGGCATTTCAAATAATTTAAATGAGGAAAATTGACTCTGCATATGAGCAGATCGGGTTACAAGCTAGGTCACGGAATGGATTAAACTCATAAGCTGGGGTTCCACTGTGTCCCCAATTTATTTATTATAAATTAATATGATAAAATTAAGCAAACATTTTGCTCTTCAAGTTTTAATGCAGTACTAGTAACATTCACTGATACCATGTTAAAGTTATATTACATATAAAGTGCTCCAGGAAACTCCTGAGTGCTAAATACACTACTGCAACACATCTCATACAGGAGGACCCTGCTTATACGACAGGTCAGGTTCAAGGCTACCACCGTAAAGAAAATTGCCGTAAAGCGAATCACCCTTTTTTGCACTTTTAAATGCATATAAATGCCTGATAACATAAAAAAAAATTATTTTGTTTAATATTTTTGGGTGTCTGGAACGGATTAATTGGATTTCCATTATTTTCACAAATAATCGACGTCATAAGACTATCTCCTGCTAATTGTTTCTCGTTTATCCACACCAATAACAACTTCTCAACCTCTTCAAGTACTGGTGATCTCATTTTTGTCAGCATATTTACCCCCTTTGCAACAACAGCTTCCTTGATTTCCTTTTCTTGGCCACGATGGAATATATGGTTGTACAGGATTTGTTATACATCCTGGCCAGTTCGGCCACACGTACGCCACTTTCATATTGTTCAATGATGTTTTTCTTAAATTCAATCATATTTCTCACCTTCTTTACCAAAGGCTTGGCACTAGGAGCTTTCTTTGGAGCCATGGTAGCTTATTTAGCACTTGCAAGCACTAAAATGAATGGAATATTATGAAATATTTTGTATGAACACGTGAGGGGACCGTCGCTCACTGGTAAACAATGGCACACTGGCTGGGAAGGGAGGCCGAGGTGGCTCAGAGCCGTGAGTACGCATCCAGGATGAACGACAATTAGCGAGTCAACTGACAATTTGCGAGCCAATGTTTGGACTAAAATAACGCGATGATTTCCAAAAAGGTCGACTATCGAGGGACCACTGTATGATTGGTGACAACCAACAAACTCACTCTCAACATAGATAAAACATACTTCATACTGTTTGGCAACAGAGCCTCAAATATTCAACTCAACATACTGTTAAATGGTTCCTCTATATCAAGACACACGGAGGACAAATTTCTAGGTCTTCTCCTTGACTGTAATTTTAAATTTCAGTCCCATACCCATCATATAGCCAAGGAAACTTCCAAATCAGTAGGAATCCTTTCCAAGATACGATACTATGTACCACAAATGACTCTCCTTACCCTGTACCACTCTCTAATACATATCCTTACCTCACCTATGGTATTTGTGCCTGGGGCTCAACCACTGCCAACCACCTTAGACCCTTAACAATCCAACAAAAATCTGCTGTGTGGGTGATAACCAGCTCCTGTGCTATACAGCCCACCCCACCACTTTTCGAAGCTCCTGTGCTATACAGCCCACCCCACCACTTTTCGAAAGACTCAACTTGCTAAATATACAAGACATACACTTATATTATTGTGCCTACTACATATACAGAGCTATAAACTCCACTGGAACTCATTACCGGATCAGGTCAAGGATCCCCAGACAGCTTATAAATTTAGGACTTTGCTAAAAAATCATCTTATCTCACAATATTAACCAAATCAACCACACATCTGCTAACTAGTTTTATTATGTGACCTCAAGGCTCTTAATTCTGCCAATCCATAAAATCATTTTGTTTCTCAATATTAACCAAACCTGCCAAAACATCTGCTAATTAGTCTTATGTGACCTCCTGGTTTTTATTTCTGCCATTCCATAAAATACTACCACCTACACCATTACAGTGGACCCTCGCCTTATGATATTAATCCATTCCTGAGTGCTCATCATAAGCTGAAATTATCGTTAGCCGAATTAATTTTCCCCATAAGAAATAATGGAAATCAAATTAATCCGTGCAAGACACCCCAAAGTATGAAAAAAAAAATTTTTACCACATGAAATATTAATTTTAACCCTTAAACTGTCCAAACAAATTTACACGTTTTCAAATGTAAAAAAAAAGAAAAGAAGATCTACGTTTTTTTACATACTTTCAAATGTTGAAAAAACGTAGATTTACGTTTGGACAGTTTAAGGGTTAATACACACAAACTGAAGAAGACATGCACAATTACTACTCTACTAAGAATAGAATACATAACACTTACCTTTATTGAAGATCTGGTGATGACTGATGGGATGGGAGGAGGGGAGAGTGTGGAAGTTATTGTTTAGATGGGGAATCCCCCTTCCATTAGGACTTGAGGTAGCAAGTCCTTTTCCAGGGTTACTTCCCTTCTTCTTTTAATGCCACTAGGACCAGCTTGAGAGTCACTGGACCTCTGCCGCACAACATATCTGTCCCGTTCCTTTAAGACTTTCCTAAAATGGGCCATAACACTGTCATTGTACAGGTTGCCAACACGGCTTGCAGTAGCTGTGTCAGGGTGATTTTCATCTGTAAAGGTCTGCAGTTCAACCCACTTTGCACACATTTCCTTAATCTCTTTTTTCAATTCCATACTAATTCTCGCCCTTTTTACCACAGGGATAGCACTAGAAGCTTTCTTGGGGTCCATGGTAACTTATTTTGCAGTTACAAGCACTAAAAACACTGGGATAATGTGAAATGTACTGAATGTATGCGTAGATGCGACCGCACTGGCAGGCTTGTAAACACTGGCGCTGAGGCCACACGTGGGATGCGTCCCGGACGAATCACGTAAAGCAAATTTTTTATTGTGAGGGGAGGCAAAATTTTTATGTTCAAATGCTTCATATGGCGGATTTATTGTAACGCGATGCGTTAGTAAGGCGGGGGTCCACTGTACTTGTAAGTTAGATTTTGTACTAAGTTTACATAAAATTTATTAAGTTCAAATAAGACTGTAAAACTGCTAACCACTATTCCATGTTTGGTTTTAAGTATAATTACTATGTACTATTATCTTAACTAGTTCTAATTAGTTACTATGTATTAGGATTAGTTTGCCTGAAATGCCTTGGCATGATAGTGGCTATCTTTGTACTTAGCAAATCAAAATTGTAATTACACACTGTAACCTTTACAAAGAAATAAACTTAATTTTTATTTTATTTATTTATTTAGTATACAGGAATAGAAAAAGCAATGAGCTGAGTACAAGTACACAATAATCTGATAATTGGAAACAAAAAGCATACAATCAAATATAAAGGGTAGATTTTTGTTAGTTTGGTGTCATTACCTTCACAAAAATATTCTCTTTCATATTAGAAGAATTGTTTTGTGGCCTGCCAACAACCCAAGGGTTTTACAGTTCTTGATCTATATAAGAATAATTAATGCATTTCCATTGTATCTTGGTTAATGTTCCTACAGATTTATTTGCCTGAGTTCCTCTGTAGAATGAAGGAAACTAAATTACCAGTCTCTCTCATTAGCAGAGTTTGATTTCAAGTGGTTAATTCTGTAATACTGTAACAGACACATTATTTACTCAGAGGACACGCCAACATTGCTTGAAGCAATAATACCTGAAAGGTTTGCTAATTTTGAATTAGTGCATTTACAGCTAAACAAACAAGCAAACATACAAAAATTTGTGCCCATTTTCTTACTCTAAATTTGCAAAGTGTCAAGGGTTGATTAAAGATGTCACGGTGGTAGTCTGCAGAGTGGCTGGTTGCTTCTAGTAGAGTATATATAGCTATGTGAAGGAAGGAATCCTCACTATCTGGACTGTACATCTTTCTCAGGATGTGCAGTAACCGCTGTGGAAGTGAGAGATTCTTTGAACCTGTAAATAAGAGAAGCTTTAATAACCCAAATTATATTTATCATTATGTATAAATATTTTTTTAACACGTCGGCCATCTCCCACTGAGGCAGGGTGACCCAAAAGGAAAGAAAAAAAACTTTCATCATTCAACACTTTCACCATCACTCACACAATCACTGTCTTTGCAGAGGCACTCAGATATGACAGTTTAAGTGTCACTCCAAAATGCCAATATCCTAAACCCCTCCTTTAACCCTTTGACTGTTTCGGTCGTATATATATGCCTTAAGTGCCTTTGTGTTTGACGAATATATACTCAAAAATTCCAGTGGCTTCAAATCAAGCAGGAGAAAGCTGGTAGGCTCATATCTGAGAGAATGGGTCTATGTGGTCAGTGTGCACTGTATAAAAAAAAACCTGCAGCACGCAGTTCATGAGAAAAAAAAAACTGACCGTGATTTTGGATTAAAGTGCCGACTGTGAGATGTATTTTTGTACAATATTTAATGGCTGTATTCTCGTTTTCTTGGTCTCAATTCATAGAATGGAAAACATATTACAGAAATAGAGATGATTTTGATTGGTTTTACTATGAGAAAAACCTTGAAATGGAGCTCAAAGTAGGGGAAATGTTTGATTTTTGCAGATGTTCAAGAGTAAACAAATGATGTCATTGTCCAATAAATGTCCAACTAGCCATTCTAATATGCTGTCATGATTGGGATGACATCATTTATACAATTATTACAATATTGCAGTAGTCTGTATAACAGTAAATCTTCTATTTTTTGTTTGAATAAAAATTCGAAATAGAAAGCATGAGTAATATCAGAGGGGCCAGGAGAAGCGACTGATGAACAAAGAAAATGTTATTTTAGAGCCAGGAATGTCTGCATTGTTCATTCTGGACCCTATTTTGAAATTTTAATTTGCGTGAAATAGGCCAAATTGCCAATTTCTGACCACTTATTGGGTAGTTGAAATAGGTAAATGGGCAGTTTCTTGTACTCAATCGACAGAACAAATGGAGTTCTAAAGAAATAACTGAGTTTGGTTGACTGGAACAATGGAATTATCCGAAAATAGGGCTCAAAGTGGGCAAAATCGGTGATTCGTAAATATTACCGAGGTCGCTAACTTCGCGAGAGCATAATTCCGAGTAATTATGAGTTTTCTGAGTTATAAGCCATCGCTCAGTCGATTTTTTGCTTTGAGTTGAGAGCCAAAATCCGAGTTATGAGCGAGCTTCAGATGCTCTGCTACTCGCAGGAAATACTGATGAACTATCAAAAATCTTGATAATAACCAATGTGTAATTTACTTTCAATTTTGATACGACTGGTAGTGTCATCCTCCCAGAATGTTCTATAACGTATGCCTTAAGTAAAGAGAAACAATTCTGGAAGATGTGTAATACAGTGGAACTTCAAAAATCGAACGTATCACATATCGAACATTTCGAAAATAGGACCATTTTTTCGAACAAACTGTGTCCCTATCATCGAATGCGCCCCTATTTTCAGACCGCCGGGTACGGGACCTGTCTGCCACCCGCTCTGTCCGCGTCCCCGCGCAGGCGCTATGAGCAGTCTAGCCTTGTTTATGCCTGAGTGAACACTAACCTGCGCTCTCATTCACGCATTTTACGATTATTTCGTTGTGTTTAGTGCTTGTGGGATTGTGAAATAAGCTGCCATGGGCCCAAAGAAACTTGCTAGCGGTACCCCTGTGGTAAAGAAAGTGAGAAACACCATAGATGTGAAGAAGGAAATAATACAGAAGTATAAGAGTGGTGTGAGACTTGTTGAGCTTGCCAGGATGTATGGGAAAAACAAGTCGACCATCAATTCTATCCTGTCAAAGAAAGAACAAATCAAGGAAGCTGATGTTGCAAAAGGTGTTAATATAGGGAATGGATGAGGTGCCTTCTTCAAAGATTAAGGAGATTTGTGCCAAGTGGAATGATGTCCAAATGTTTTTGCAGAAGTACTACCCTGAGCAAGCTGAAACAAGCCATCTTTGCAACAAGTTCAGTGACAGAACCATGTCCCATTTTAGGGAAATGTTAAAGAGGCGCCAGAAACAGAGGACTGTGGACAGTTATTTTGTGAGACAGGGGTCCAGTGACTCTCAAGCTGGTCCTAGTGGCATTAAAAGACAGAGAAGGGAAGTAACCCCAGAGAGGGCTTTACCTGAATCCTCATGGAGGGGTATTCTCCTTCCAAACACTAATCCCAACTCCCTCTCTCCTCCTCCCTATCTTCCAGATGCCATCACCAATCTTCAGTAAAGGTAAGTAAAAATGTTATTTTATATGTATTACTATACATAATTAAAAACTATAGTATTTGTTGTATGTAAAACTGTAATTAATCTCTATAAAATGTATTTTTTGTGTGAATATTTTTGGGTTTCTGGAACGGATTAATTGTATTTCCATTATTTCTTATGGGAAATATTGCTTCGAATTTCAGACTTTTCGAATTTAGAACTAGCTCCTGGAATGGATTAAGTTCGATTTTTGAGGTTCCACTGTACATGTTTGGCAGGCTGGCTGGCTGGCTGATTTGCTTTGGCTGTCTGTCTGTATCTATCTCTGTCTCTATCTCACAAGTACAGTTGTACCCCAAGTTTTGAACCTTCTTTGTTCCAGAAGGCTGTTCAAGTGCCGTAACCGAACGAATTTGTTCCCATAAGGAGTAATGTAAATTAGATTAGTCTATTTCAGACCCCCAAAAATACACTTACAAAAGCACTTACAATAATACACTTACATAACCGGTTGAGTTGGGAGCAGTTCGAAACTCGGGGTACCACTGTACACATAAATACAGTTATACATAGTGTAAATTACCTAGGATAACCCAAAAAAAAAATCCAGACAAAGTGCTATACTATGCTTGTAGAAATAAGGCATAAGGAGCATAACTGGCAAGTAATACACATTTTCACTTGTTCAGGAATCAAACATGACGCATCGTGTGTTATACCTGTTGGTTCATGAGCAGCTCTCTCTCTGAGACAGAGAGATAAGTAGAGAAACAGGAAGACAGAAAGACAGATAAGCAGAGACAGAGATAAACATGGGCAAAGCTAGACAGACAGACAGACAAATAGACAGAAACAGACAGAAACAAACAGATACAGATATGTTTGTGTGTAACAGTGAAAAATAAAGCCAAGGCAGTGCACAATCATCAAATGTCACTCCACTGCTGCACTGTCAGCAGTGGAGTGACGCTCATCTTACACTGTCCTTCAAGGAGTTTCATATATACTCGAGCATTTCTAAAACAATGCTGGGACCTGGCCAAAAAGGCAGAAATCATTTGTTATTTATAAATACACCTACCCTCTGACTTGCGACCTGCTTGACATATGTCCACTTGACTTACAACCATGCATCTGGCAGCTGGGCTGGGCCGGCTGATGCACACCACTGTACAATATTTGAGGATACTTGCGGCAGCAGTGCCATGCAGGCAGCATCAGTTTGAGTAACCTTGCCCTATCAGCAGCATCATACTGTATTATTTGTACTAACTGGACAGTAAATTTCACCATGGCCCCTAAGATGAAGTCTGAATCTTGCACTGGAGATTGTGTCAAGAAAGGCTCTTGCTCTCCAACTATATTTGTTTTCACTGTTACACACAAACCTGTTTGTATCTGTCTGCCTGTATATCTGTGTCTGTCTGTATCTGTCTGTTTATCTGCCTTTCTGTCTACCTGTGTGTCTGTCTTTCTGTCTACCTGTGTGTCTGTCTTTCTGTCTACCTGTGTGTCTGTCTTTCTGTCTACCTGTATGTCTGTCTTTCTGTCTACCTGTGTGTCTGTCTTTCTGTCTACCTGTGTGTCTGTCTTTCTGTCTACCTGTGTGTCTGTCTTTCTGTCTACCTGTATGTCTGTCTTTCTGTCTACCTGTGTGTCTGTCTTTCTGTCTACCTGTGTGTCTGTCTTTCTGTCTACCTGTGTGTTTGTCAGTCTACCTGTGTGTCTGTCTTTCTGTCTACCTGTGTGTTTGTCAGTCTACCTGTGTGTCTGTCTACCTGTCTATCTTTCTGTGTGACTGTCTGTCTACCTGTGTGTCTGTCTTTCTGTCTACCTATGTCTGTCTGTCTGTCTGCTTGTCTGTCTCAGAGCCACTCATTAAGAGTGTAATTGGTCTTGAAGATGCCATATTAATAATGATAATAACACAATAATAATCACTGAGGTGCATTAAATGTGTATAAAACGTTAATAAAGACATTTTGCTTAATCTATGATTTTTTTTTTTCAAAATTATATAATAAACATGCTACGTAACATATAAACATATAAATTAACAAATATGAGATGTTTTTCTGGTCGGCTTGACAGAGTGAACAGGAATCATTCGTGTCTGGGCTGGTAACAACAACAACAACGTTCGTTTACAAAACTCGCGAGCCTTCTACACTCTCATTCTCTCTCTCCTGTTTATTCATTTAATCTTGTTTACTCACCTCTCACTCTACATTAAGACTACAGATATTTTAAGGTAAGTAATGAGTGGACACGATTATTATATTATTATACATGTATTAGTAATATGGTTTAATAATAATAATATTATTAATATTAGTACATATGTATTATTATAATAATAATAATAATTATTATTTATATTATTCCTAGGTAGTAGGTTGGTAGACAGCAACCGCCCAGGGAGGTACATGTACTACCGTCCTGCCAAGCGAGTGTAAAATGAAAGCCTGTAATTGTTTTACATGATGGTAGAATTGCTGGTGTCCTTTTTTCTATTTCATAAACATGCAAGATTTCAGGTACATCTTGCTACTTCTACTTACACTTATGTCACACTGCACATGCATGTAGTACAAGCATACATATACACACCCCTCTGGGTTTTCTTCTATTTTCTTTTTAGTTCTTGTTCTTGTCTATTTCCTTTTATCTCCATGGGAAAATGGATCAGAATTCTTCCTCCGTAAGCCATGCGTGTTGTAAGAGGCGACTAAAATGCCAGAAGCAAG